GGGGCTTGGAGCTCAGCCAATTGAGTAGGAATTGCCAAAGGGACCAGAAACAGGAGGGACTAAGGCTGTTGGCTGTATGTGTTTACGCTGAGGGAAGACAGCGACAGTTGTTCCTGCTTTTCAGTCTCTGGGTTTTTTTGTTTTGTTGTTTTTTGTTTGAGACAGAGTCTCGCTTTGTGCTGCCAGGCTAGAGTGAGTGCCATGGCGGTCCAGGCCTAGCTCACAGCAATCGCCTCCAACTCGCTTGGACTCAAGCATCCTTCGTGCCTCAGCCTCCTGAGTATGCTGTGACTAATGCAGGCATTGCACCTGCCACCATGCCCGGCTAATTTTTTCCTATATATATTAGTCGGCCAATTAATTTCTTTCTATTTATAGTATAGACGGGGTCTCGCTCTTGCTCAAGCTGGTTTTGAACTCCTGACCTTGAGCAATCTACTCTCCTCGGCCTCCCAGAGTGCTAGGATTACAGGTGTGAGCCACCACGCCCAGCCAGTTCTCTGGATTTAATACCCTCCTTCTTTCCTGACCTTTTCCAGAACTCACATCCAGCCCTGCTGACCTCTCAGCCCTTTATCTCTTCCTCTAGGTCTCACAGGCACCAGGACCCCAGTCCTAGAGGGGAAGGGTTGTAGAAAAGGGGGTGTGTCACTCATTCAACATCTATTAAGCATGTGCTGTGTGCCAGGAACTGTGCTAGGTAGTAACTGAGGATGGGACAGGAACAGGACAGGTGAGAAGCTTGCTCTTGTAGCCATTACATTTTAAATGAGAGCCAGGCAGGGGCTGCTTCAAGTTCAATGGTCATGTCTGGGCTGAAGCCTAAATGCAAAGCTCAATCGAGTCCCCAGAACTGGGGTCTCGGTGGAGCAAGTGCAGGCGTCCTGAGGGGAAAAAGGTTGTCTGTACCAGGAAGCCACTGAAGCTGGAGATGAGGCAGCTGAGGAAGACAGCGAGTGGAAGTTGGGGAGACAGGGCCAGAGTACCTCGCAGGGTCCTCGGTCACTATGAGTGAGATGCATACCACGGAAGGGTTGCCAGTGGGGTTAGAGGAAAGTTACGGCACCTGACAATGTTTAATGGTGTCAATGGCACGTGGAAAACATTCCATAGGAATGAGGCATAAACTGGGACATCAGTGAAGAGGCTGTTATGGGGATGAAGGTAGTTTGGTTTTGGGTGGGTAGAACTGGCAAGACTTAGTGACCACTTGGCTTGTGGGCCCGGGAAGTTCCAAGGCATCCAGAGTCCAGGCCTGAACTCCATTGAACTCTGTTACTCGTCTCCTTCAGTTGGGTCCTCCCAGATGATCCCATCAGTACTAAACAACCCTCGCTCCTCTCCCCCAACCGGCTCTCATTGCTCTTTACGTCCCACCCCACTTAACCCACTTCTAACATGATTTATTAGTCATTATTGCTCTCACCCCCATCATCTGGTCCTTGAAGATAGAGGCTCATCCCCCATCTCTTATCATGGGACCTGGCACTGAATGAATGAATTGTCGTCTAAGGCTTCTTCTTAGGATATTTCAGCAATGGCAAGCCGCCCTCTGGCCACAGGGCTTTTGCAGTAGAGTCTCAACTGTGTCTTTTCCTCCCCTCCAACCCTGCCCGTGCTCTAGTTAACCTCAACTCTTCCTCCAGATTTTGTCTTCTTGAGGCACCTCCCTGCGTAGCTTGAGATTTTTGTACTTCACTGAAAAATGTCTCCCACCCCTATTAATCATGAATCGTGAATAAATGAATAAATAGGAGATAAGCACAACAATCCAGCCCACCCCAAGCCAGGCCTCCCAAACTGCCCTCCAGATATCTGGAAGAAGGGATTGGGTCTGGTGAGGGCACATTCACAAAATTCCTTCCTCACCTCGGCCCTCCGAGGCAGGGCAGCGGGCGCTCTTGCTGGGGCAGACAGAGAGGGTGGGGGCACTCGCGGGGGAGTGTGGCGGATCTCGTGGAACCTCCAGGGCGTCTAGGACTGCTGTAAAAGCGTCCTCTTCCTCGCTTCCCGGCCGGAACTGATCCTGCGGTGGAAGAGCATTCGACGTTGGGGCCCACTGCGGGGATTCACCCTCGAGAGCCCACTACCACCCCTGCTTAGCTCCCGGGCCACCAGAGTAGCAAGCCAGCGCCCTGGGCTTGTCGCGGTTTCCGATCTCCGGGCTTTTGCAGACCTGCCGCCGAGTAACCACTAGGGGGCGCGCTGAATCTTGCCAGACCCAGATGGTGAGGGACAAGGGGCGGAGCGCGCACAGGAGTGCGAGTAGGGGACCAGGACAGAGGTGAAAAGGGGGTGGACCTCAGTGCAATCCCCAGGCCAGTTTCCTCTGGCTTTAGAATCTTATTTTATTTATTTTCAGCATATTATGGAGGTACAAATGTTAAGATTATATATATTGCCCTTGACCCCCCTCTCCCCTGGCTTTAGAATCTTCCTGTGGCTCCTGACTCCCTGGACATGGGCCTTTTGGTTTTTTTTTTTTTCTTTTTTT